ATATATATATATATATCACCCCAAATAATTTCCGTTCTAATGGTCGGATTTTCATCTTATGATGGTTCTTGGGGATGACCTTAAATCTGCTAATTATGCAGTGCTAACTATTAATTAAATTACGAAATCGGACGCAGAAACATTCTTTCTCTGATACTTTTCTTAAATACATTTCCGTCTTCATACATTTTCTTGCATAATATTTTTAACCTTCGAAATATAGGGGATAGCTGCAATCTGAGAAATATGGTTCCCATAGTTTAATCAGGACAGTGATGCTAAGTTTGGCTCCTTCAATGTTAATTTCACTTTTTGCGTTTTAAGTCATATTTTGAAGATTAATTAAGCAATTCAAAAAAAAAAACATCCACTCATAAAATCCGTTTACTGAAAGATAATTTCATGCAAAAATAACTTGCAATAGTTTTTTATTATTTTTTATTATTTAAATATGGATTAAAGAATTTTGGAAATGGGATGCATAAATTTCTTTATACCATATTAATCTACGCATTTTTCTATATCAAAATCTAAAGTTTCAGCAGTTTTTATTTCGTAGAAGCAGAGAAAAATTAAAATTATTTTTTAAAAAATAATTTGATGAGATGGAAGAAATATTTAAATGTTGAGATTAATATTTAAATGAGGATAATTCACGAGAAACTTGACTTGCGCGCGTGCAGCGTAAAATTTCATTCATATTTTTATCGCTGATAATCGATTTATGATCCTTTTTTCAAATTATAAAATACGATATTTCTGTTTTATGGTCAAAAAATTTGTTCATAATTTAATAAAGAGACTTGAATAAAACATTTTATTAGATAAAAACATTCTATTCTACGAATGTCGAGTTTTATAAAAGTATTTTTCTGATAGAATGTGATTATACATTTGCTTCTTTTAATTTTATTTTTTAGTTTGCTCTTTTATCAATCGATACAGTTTCAATAATATACAAACGCATGCATAGATTTTAAATAATATATTTATCAATTTCCTGAGTTATAATTCTTAATGCGAATACGTAGTCAAAATTTTTAAGCATCTTAAAATTTCTCAACATCTTACATATCGTCTTCATTTTAAATTAAATTTTTTGAATACCTGTCTACGCCTGTTTCGCAGAATTATTTTGCCAGTTACTTAATTAAATTTTAAAATTCCTCAAAATCTTATTCTTTACTCCACCACGTATATTATTTTTCCATTAATATATTAATCAATTGCTTTAGTACTCTATTTTAGGCTTTGCTTTAAAGTAAAATTCCTTTTTAAATTATGGCCATGTTGTTATTAAAAGTAAACTTAGAATTATTGCCAGCAAGCTGACAATTAAATTTTGTTAAGAAATAAAAAAGTATTCCTCTGATTCGAAGAGCTGACTGTTTACTAAACATACTATTTTTCGAAAAAGGAATATAAATTATAGATTGTCTTTTTTTATTGTTTCTTATTTGTTTGAGTAAGGAAAAGTTTATTTGAGTAAGGATAATGTTGAAAAAATTTGCTTAAAAATTTTTAATATTATTACTCATCTTTAGCACAGTTCAAAAGAATTGTTGTATCCGGAAAATGCTCAATATGCCTTATTTCGCAAAACAGCAAATACTAAAAATGGAAAATTGTAAGAAGATTCCAAGGCTAACTTTAGACTCATCATCTCTAAAACGTGTTATTTTTTTAACTTTAGAATTTCCTTAATGCTAAAATAAGATGTATTAAGAAAGTTTTGAATAACAAATTATTTTATAATTGTAATTAATAGTTTTAAAATACCTTTTACAGAAATTATAAATAAAAGTTTTTCTTTTATTTCGCAGTGAAAAGACAAGAATGTTAATGTTTTTTTAATGCTCAATTGAAACGTGACAATGATTTAATTAACCACAGAATCAAAATCTGATAGGACGTTACATTTAATTGCCTGAAACACTTAGAAAGAACTAAACTTATTAAAATTATTAGAAATTATTATAAACAAGTACGATTTTAAGTACCGTTATGACATTTTCCAGGGCGTATAAGGCTGGCAATAGTGTCTTTTGCACTATGAAAATTCATGCTGTAGGAAATTATGTCGCTAGAATAACAATAGATAGCGCTATAATAATGTTGTAATAAATAATACAAATTAAATTGTAAATTATGATGAAATTAGCAACAATAAATTTGCCCAATGTCTTGAGCTGGTGTTTTAACAATGAATTCTCTACAATTGACTGCAGAAAACCACCAATTTAAGTGAATCTTACGACTGCTACTAACGACAATATGTTGTGTATCAAACATAAATGGCATGGCTGATAATGTTAGGCAACAAATATTGCACGAAATTGGATCAGGGCGGTTATCAAGACGAAAGAGAGTAAAAACTGGTAAGAAATTCATTTAGCTTCATATAGCTTGTTTTCGGGAAGTTTAAAATATATATGACTAACAGGTTTTTTTTTTTTTTTTGATATTATTGAATGCTTTGGCTACAGTTAATAAGCTCAACTAAAAAGCCGTATGGAGCTGCAGAATACTGGAAAAACCTTTACTGCGATTTGCTGAGATAATTGGAGGACAAAGTTGGATTTTCCATCAGAACAATGCCTCTCTTAGTGTCGTAAAACCTTTACAGGGTTTGATTTTGAAAGAAGAAGGTCCATGTTTGGGAATGGTGGTAAAGTAGAGAAAAATTATTACTTTATTAGTTAAATCAAAAGAGCAATTGAGAATTCGGGCATTTAAAATTTTTGTTTTTATTTTACATATCAGTTGTAAATACTAGTAATGCGACCAAAAAAGTTTTTGCTAAAGGTTAAAAAAAACTCGTTTACTCGAAGAAGAAAAAAAAGAGTTGATGAGAAATAAGCTTTCCACTTCCGAAAAATTATCAGAAGGATTATCAGTGGGATATCAGAGGGATTCCCATTTCAGAAGGATATTAGAATCAACTTGCTACAAAAGAAATAAAATTCAAATTATTGTATATATCAAACATAAATGGCAAATACATTATCTACCCGACAATAGGTAAGTAAAAATACTTATTGAAAAATCAATAGCGCTACAACATAAATTGTACCTATTAGCATATATTGAAAATGTGAAACATGAGTTGCGTTACAACGTATGCTAATCAGAAATATTCTCGTGATAAAATGGCTTTCAATATTATCTGCAGTTTTAGTTTCATTGCATTCGGACCGATAAAACGTATTCTAATGATCCCTCTTCAGTGAGAAATTTCTTTCTTTCTAAACTTGCAGTTTATACAAAAAATATTATCAATAAAGATGATCATGATTGTTTCAAAATTAATAATAAATAAAACACTTACGAACTATAGAAACATGAAAATTTTCAAATCACATTATTAATGAAAGATTTTGTTTGGTAAAATCAATATATTGAAAATAAATTGGCAAAATTAAACCCGAGAAATAGCAATTCAAAAATACGACTTTTAATTAATAGTAATAACGTTTTTTTTAAATTGTTATTACTCCAAGAAATTATTTACCAACCGTTTTTATTATTAGAACTTTTTGAAAAGAAAATCGTAAATTCTAAAATTCTACTGATTCTTTTCTTTTGACTGATTCATGTTTTGGTGACAAGAAGAATTGTATTTTTGAGTTCCATTCATTGACAGCCCCTATAAAAAAATAATGTTTTGTTACAACTCAAAAATCAATTTAAAATAATGCTTTTGAGCATTGGTAAGCGACATAAATAGTATTTTTTATACTCTGTAATGTATTTATGTAATTAAGAATTCCATTATAATTCAATAATGAAAATATATCATACTGCAATTCGATTAAAATGCTGTCATTATAATAAATAAACCATGAAAAAAATTAAAATGCGTTATAAGTTCAGAAAATATTGAAGAATTCAGATTATTAGTCAAACCTTTACAGCTAATTTAAAAGGTAGGTGGATTTTTAATGGCATAGAAGTAACTGCATTAATTGATATGAAAATAAACAATATGCCACTTTATTTGTCTAGCCGTCATTTCTGAAATTCACCTTTAGTTTAAGACAATGTAAGAAGACTGTAATAAATAGTAAATAGCAGAATTTTCTTAAAGGCATATACCTTACTGAAAATGAAACAAAATTGACATTTTGAACCGATATTTTGTCTGTTTTAGCCAGAAGGTAGGAATTAGGAATATTTAAATGTGTTCTAAAAAATTTTCGATCTACCTCCTAGCTAAGTTCCTTAATGCTCTTTTACAATCTGTTATCCATCATAAAATGGATTATCTTTATTCAATCAGGCCCTGTCAAATGAAAATTATAGGAAAAATAGCATAACAGCTCTTTATTACATGCCTGCTATAATATTAAGAAAATACAAATACAAATATATATATATATATATAAATACACCGAAGAGCCATTACATTATGACCACCCTGCTAATAACATGTAGGACCACCTTTAGCCCTCAAAACTGCTAGCACCCGCAGTGGCATTAATTCCACAAGGCGCTGATAGGAAGTCTGAGGTATCTGGTACCAAGCGCTCACCAACTGATCCTGCACTTTCCTCACATTGCGAGGGGGTAGCGTGGCAGCACGAATTTGGTTATCTAAGTAGGACCACAAATGCTCGATTGGATTAAGGTCAGGAGAATTTGGGGGCCAAGACACGACTTGAAAGTCACTGGAATGTTCCTCGAACCAATCCATGACGATTCGACCCTTATGACATGGTGCATTATCCTGTTGGTAAACACCATCCCTCGCAGGAGCTTACAGACGTCAGGGATTGTTCTATGAGGATTGTGGGTCCTAATGTGCCCCATGAAAACATTGTTCCTGGGCGAGCCCATTGTTATAGATGGAGGGTGGTCATAATGTAATGACTTTTCGGTGTATATATATATTACGGTAGCCATAAAATCTAATTATTTTAAACTTACATGAAGAAATAAGACAAAACTTAATAGGCGAAAAGTACAATCTATACAACAACATACTAGTGGATTAACAGGGTGTCCTTCAATATATGTAAAAATTAGCAGTCACTTTTTTTTGAGACGCAATGAGAGTGTAAATATAGGGGGGGGGAGGGATGAAAGTTAAAAATAAAAATTCCCTTCATCTCCGTTTCAATGAGCCATTGTTCGAAGCGTTCTGCAAATCGTTGAAATGTTATTAAAGAATCTCGGAGCTGAATGACTGAAGTTCTGGCATAATACATTTTTGCTAGGTATGAGCATTTGGTATATTATTCTAGGTCTTCGTAGGGTTATTTTCGAGTCATTCACAATCGTTTGGATGCAAACATAAATTCGGGCAGTTTTTATTCAAAAAGAGATGCCCGAATCAGATGAGCGTTTAAAGATTAGAAATGATTTATATTTATTTAATTACAGTTATTTATAGAAAAAAATTCTATAAATTCCTTTATCAAGTATAGTACTCACCTTCCCAAAACGTTAAATCATAATTTATTTTGAATGAACAATGTTAGGTTGTTAAAAGCTTTTTGCTAACCTTATATTTTAATTCATGAAACTATAAATATTTATCTTACATTTTATTTATATATTCATAAATAATTTAGTTATTTAATGCATTATAATTCTGTAGACGTTATAATTTTTATCTTAAACTACTATATGGGATAAAAAAAATTATTTTATGTTATATAACATCTATGTATATGTATCATATATATGTCTGTGAGGTTTCCATTTAAGATTTGAATCATTGTCAGTGTCACTGAATTATGTAGTCTATTATAACTACGTCATTTCGACGTAACTGAATATTGCACAAGGAAGTCAAGAATTAACAAATCGATATTAATCCACCTTATGGAACTATATTCCGGTTAAATGAAATAAGTTATAATATTTTTTTTTCTTTTTTACTATTATTTGTTGCCTTTTAAAGCGGTTTTTAAAACACATTTTTATAAGTAGATCTAACCAAAACGAAGTTTAATTATACTCAGTAAACTCGTAAATGATGCTATTGATTACACTGGGGTACAATTTTTTCCCCAATGCCCACCTGGTTGATATTTGCCATTTCAGGCATCGGAACATATGATCAACTTTAAAACTCTCCCTTTCACTTAAATTTCGTTTCGCCTTGCAATTTTAAATTTTTAATAGCATTCATTTCTCATATTATTCATGTATGTTACCACCCCTTAATTAAAATTAAAGGCTAATTAAATTTCTATTCATTTATTAAATTAGTACAATTTGTTATAAACCAAAAATTGTTTTGTATTTAATATTCAAAAAAAAGTACATATATAGTCTATTTAAAAATGTTTAAAACTTCTTATCGTTTTATACACATACGCAGTACGAAAATTAAGGATGAAGTGGTTTTTCGAAAATTTGTACATCAGTGTTGAAAATCGATAAGAATCATACCACAGAATCCTCGAAATTTAAGAATATGGGAAAGAAAAAAATGCACCAAAAATGTAATTCACAGGAACAATAAGGAACTTGGAATAAGGAATAAGGAAATTTAAGCTTAAAACTCAATTGTACAAATTACAATCGTTAATATTACACTGGATTGGTAAGGAAATTCCAGCCATTATTATGGAATAGGATCCCTTCTGACTGCTGTGCAGGATTGATATCGTCTGCCCATGGTGAGGACCAGGTTGTTAAGAAGCTCTTGAAGAATTTCTGCGCATTCCCGTTGTAGTGCTAATCGCAGTTGAGGAATTGTTACTGGCGGTCAAGGCCATGCTGCAAAGCCTCTACCTAGAATATCCTCCATATGTACAATCGGATTAAAATCCTGTTACCTTGCCGGCAATTCCATGCGTGCGGTATCTTCACTCTCTAACAGTCCTTAGATAGCTACTATACGATGAGGCGTTGCATTATCATCCATGAAGATGAGCACAAAACCCACAGCACCTTTTAAAGACGAGCATGAAGAAGAACCTCGGTACAATAATGGGCACCAGTGACAGAACCACTTTGGAAGATGTGTACATCTATACGGGTACCAAGCATGCTACCGGCCCATATCAGAACTCCACCTCTTCCAAACCGATCTCTTACGATAGAGTGATCGG